AGATGAGAGAGAGAATAAAAATCTGGGTCATTAGGTGGATGGAGGACCTTAGGAATGCAATATATTTTGTCATTTTTATTATATCTTCATTTTCATACCTAAGAACAGAAGAATAACTTCATTTGTTTAAGGAATCAAGCTGTGTGTAAACACGAGGAATCTTGCCTTACAGCTAGTTATGCTCGTGATTCTCTCGCTGTTGGTAAAAAGGAAGAAACTCTATCCAGATTTTTGGAACGGAGTACCTGGACTATTGAGGTACTAACTCGGTCATGCTGGGTGGGGAACACTTCGGCTTGGGGCGGGGGTGGTGGTCTTGCAACTTTGGAGCATAATATCTTCAAAGCTTTCCAGCAGAGGCATTCCATTTGTAGAACTAATTTTTGTTTTGTTTTCTTCTGTTTATTCTTCCTCTCTGGCACTCTGTTTGTCGGCTTTGCCCAGCCCTATGCATTTCTTGGAAGACACGCAGAACAAAGGATTGGCCATTGCAGTCTTTGGCATACTCTTCTCTTCGTTGTGCGTGCTGTTGTTAGACAATGACCCCCTGCCTTTCATCTCCAACTCTTCAATACAAAATCGAGGTAATCTCAAAGAATTTCAGATAGGAAGATGGGGAGGTGGTGATCTTCTCTAAACTCCCTCTTTCAAGTTAGCTTTGTTGATTAAGAATTTGGGGAGCTGTGGTCAAAGATAGGTCAATAGCACCAAAGTGGACAGAAAATAAGGACTATAACCTTTTTTAAAAAAAGTGGACGGTTAATTTTTGGAAATTTGAGGAGGAAGATGAACAGCTGACAGGGAGTGGGAGTGCAGGTCTGTTGGCTGCAGGGGAAACTGGGGAAGGGCAAAGCCCAACTGGGCAGAGCAGGGGAGAAGCAGAACAAGGGGAAGGGAGTTCAGAGGAAGACCTAGGCCCACCCCCTCTTCATCCCAAAGCAGGCAGAGAGGAACAGAGAAAAGAGCAACGTGGGTTGCATGGCTTACAGGGGAGGAAAGGGCCCTGATTCCCTTCATTAGGCACACCTGGGAAGAGAGTTTAAAAGAGATGCATGCTGAGTGCAGCATATTCTGGGAACAAACGTGAGTTTATCTTGTGTTGACTTTGGTTATCTGTGTTCCTGGCATCCTCCCAATCGTGTTGAGTTATTACCATGCCTTCATGTCTGGAATTCCTTCTCTTGCCCTGCCGGACTAATGGCCTCTTCTTGCCTTGATTGGAGGTATAGTTACAGTTTTTGTTGTCCATGTTTTGGACTTGATTCTCTGCAGCCAAAGGCTGTTCCTGGGAGTGTTTTTCTCCAACCAGAAGGTAACCAGGACATTGGGGGCAAAGCTGGAGCTAATAAAGGGACTCCTACTGATTATCTGACTGTGTTGCCTTTGTGCCACGCCCTGGGTCATCATAGTGGCCTCCAAGGTGCATTGAATTTGTCACTCTGTAAAGAAAGAATATGGAGGACAAAATATGTCCACCTTACTTGGAACATCTCCTTTTCTACACAAGCCATTCTGGTGCTTCTGACATGGGGATAAGATCAGCTGCTTCCTGATTATATCGTAATTAAGAGTTGTGGTTAAGAGTTGTGTCTAATCCAGCATATCATCTCCTTCTTCACAAGAACATTAGAAATCACTTCAATGGATCAAAGCAAGCTTATATCATCCTTCCTCCCAGAGAGAAAGCAGCACAAGTAGGCATAGAAAAAGAGCTAACCTGCTTTTGACCCATGCCAATTGGCATTAGATGGCGGAATGGCCTTAAAAAAAGTACTGCCTTCTTTCCACCATGGTTTTAGGCGAAGGATCTCTCCAAATAGACCCAGCTCTGGTTTTTAAAAGCCATTTCAACTAAGAGCAGGAGGAACACACAAAGAACATCTGCCATTTCTGTCTTCTTAGATATTTTCCTTGTTTTGCCTAAGACAAGATCCCCCAACCTTGGCAACTTTAAGATGCGTGGACTTTCAACTCACTTCAATGGCTGACTGGGGAAATCTGGGAGTTGAAGTCCATCTTAAAATTGCCAAGGTTAAGAAATCTGACCTAAGGACAGGACCAATCCAAGGTCTGTTGGCCAACAGTCATTGTTGTACAAATAAATGTCCCATGAGTTGCCTTCTATGGGAAATCTGATGACGTCCCCTTAGCAGAGGTTATGGCAACCCTACCCACTCTTTCATTTGCATTGTCCACGTGTCTTTGCGCAAAAATACTTGGGCTTTTAACGTTAGTCCTTCTCTTTTGATCTCTTTGTCTAGAGTACTGGAAGGTGCTGGCTTTATTCTATTATCCTGCCTTCTATTATCCCTTATTGGCATGCGCTACTGTTCGACACAGAATTGGATACCTGCTTGGCTGCCTTCTGTCCTGGTGTCACTGTGTGCTCTACATCTGGCAAAAGGTGGAATGTCCTCAGTCATCCAAGGTAAAGAGAAAGAAGAAAGAAGCTGATAGGGAGAAACTGGGTGCAACTAGAGCAGAGGTCTCCAAACCTGGCAACTTGAAGACTTGTGGACTTGAACTCCCAGAATTCTGGGAGTTGAAGTCCACAAGTCTTAAAAGTTGCCAAATTTGGGGACCCCTGAACTAGAGTTCTTGCCTGAAGCCTGGAGACTTTCTGCCCATTTTGGGAGAAGTTTGGGACTCAAATTTTGGATTTTTAATAAATGCAGTTGGGCCATAGAATCAAAACATATTAATTTGAAGCAATTAATAGAAACTCCCTTGATGATATTCAGAAGGACATCCTGGAGACAATATCTGGAGAAGGTCTGAAGACCACACTTTGAGTTGGGGGGATACTGATCTGGGGCCACAGTTGCATACATCTTTGGATCGTGATGCTTCAGAAGGCTCATGGTCGTTTATCACTCATGTTTCTCGAACTCGGTGAAGTAGATTTTAGGATGCAACTACTACAAGGGAAATGTGAGGATCTGTCCCAGAAGAATGAGAAAGGAGCTAACTAAGGAGCAAATTGTCAGGAATATATATGGCACCGGGGTTCCTCCCAGGTGGCTTTCAGACCAGGAATCATTTGTTACCTGTACATTGGACAAAGCGGATGCTTTGACTTAATAGGAGTAGCAAACTCTCTGGATTTCCCATGGACTGCAGTATGTTCTCAGCCTCCAGGAAGCAGGGCAGAAAGCAATTATGTGCACAGCTTGTAATTAACATGAAAGCATATTTTGAGTCCCACCAAAGGCCCAAGGAAGAAAGCGGCCAAGAACACCCCCTCGGAGTTCCAGAGGATCTGAAAAAGGGGTGTGGAGGAGAGCAACTAATCCACTCTCTTTGTTTGCGACTTTGCACCTTGAAGCAATTCACGGAGGACTTCGCGAGAGGGACCAACTCACTCTTCAAATTCATCACTGCGTCATCACTGTGGCAGAGAGATCTGGTCCATAAACCACAATCCCTGGGTCTGGAAACTTCCCAGTGTAACATTAGCCATTGAGGGATGGTGACCGAGATATAATTCAACTCCTCGGTGCTCAGTGGTAGCCACTTTATTCTGTCTTTTTTTCTTCTCCTTTCTTCTCAGATCTACAGGTATTATTCCCTGCTTTCTTACCTGCCTATCATTCTGTGCCTCGCCGTGCTGAGCCTTTGGTACCCCGTAAAATTGGTTGAGAGCTTCAAAGGGGACGCCAGGATGGCGACAGAGAAGGTAACCAATCTTGACATCGCCCTCTCCAGCTCCAAAGGAGGCAACAAATAAGCCATTGACGATCGTGAATCATCGTTAAACAAATGGTTGTAAGACAAGGACTACCTGGATGAAGTACATCCAAAATTAGGAAAGAGAGCGGTGATTTTGTTCTTAAAAAATCCGCTTTCCCCCCCTAATGATCTCTCGTTGATTTATTTGTGTCAACCCAACCTCTCAGCTCCAGAAAAGTTGAGTCTTAATGTCCCTGGTTCAGAGAAGAATGGATGCCTTATTGTACAGTTGTATTTAAAAAAAAAAAAGCAGGCTGTTGGCGCAACGGTGTTGTAATCCCCTCAGACTGTTGTGTAAGAAATCCCTGCTTTGCAAACCCAACAATAGTCAGAGGAATGCGTTTGGTGCCTTTGCTTGGAAATGTGCAGGCAGGTTTTTGGGTTTCACCAAATCCAACCATTTATATAACCCTGAGATGAAAGGGAGGGAGAGAAGGAAGGGAGGGAGATGGAAGGGAGGGAGGGAGGGAGATAGAAGGAAGGAAGGAAGGAAGGAAGGAAGGAAGGAAGGAAGGAAGGA